AACCAATAAAGTCTAGTTTTGTTTATTGAATAAATAATTACATTTTAAGAGGTAGCAATTGAGAACTGATTTTATTTTTATTTTATTTATTTCAATAGTGGTTCAATTATAACTGGACATTGTAAGTGATCTTGCCGGTGTAGAGGTAAATAACTTTTTTAAAATATATACACCGTGCTTTATCATAAAGTCCTTTCATGCTTATTGTAATTGTGACCCAGACACATAGACCAATCGCCCATAGATCGGAAGGAATAATTGGTTGTTCAACAATAGGTTGGGGTTTTCGACAATCCCGCATATCATGAATTGCCATCACCCAATGGTTTTATGCATCTTTCCAGCCTCCGAGTTAAAAGAAGCTATTATGATCCCATCCATCAGTGATCCTATCTCTTTGGACATCACATTGATGACCAAAGTACTCTCCATGTTGCTTCTTGGCAGCTCCATTGACATCTTGTCCGAGGGGTGAAGAGCCCGCATCTAGGTGGCAAACCTACTTGTCGATGTGAACTCCTGGGCATGAAAAGGCCTCATTGAGGTGACCAATCTTCCTATATATGTGAACTCCTAAGAAGATCAAACAGTTATCTCTAGAGTATTTTTTATTCAATCAAGAAGGCCTAAGCATTTCCCCCTAGCATAGTTACCGGATGATTTAGCACATAATGTGTTCCTATTGCCTATTTTGATAAATTGTGGAGATTAACTATAGTTTCTCATGACAAGAACTCACATAGGGCACATTTGTTTCACGTGAGAATCTATTTTGGGAAATATTTTCGCATGAAATAATTCCCTTATATAGTTAGGTGTGAATATATTTTCACATCAATTGATGCCAGTTTATCTTTTCACACCAATTCATAGTTAATTTGTGTGAAAATATTCACACACCTAACTACATGAGAAATTTTATTTATATAAAACTATTTTTTAATAAATATTTTCATACAAACCAAATGTGCTTAGGTATTGTTCTTCACCATCATCCCTCACCAACAATGGATAGTGAAGTAATAAAATGGTGTGTATTCTACGACAATATTTCTAAAACTATTTCTCCTTAGTGGAACAATAATTTACTGTTAAAGTTGACCATTTATTCGTTTATTCATTTTTATATTTTGTACTTCTACTAAAGGCATAACAACTATTGGAGGCATTTTGTTGATAGTAGGGTTTCATTTTTCGAGTTTTTTGGGTAATTTAGTGGGGATGACGAGCCCTTACCTATTTTGTTTTGAAATATTTAGTGATTTTTTAATGCGTTAGGTAAGAATGGAAGCCTAGACCTTAGATGCGGCGCAAGTGGTTTTATTTTTTGAATTGCACTTGCTTAAGTGCCTATTCAGGGGCAATTCTAGGATAACTTTATTGCTACTTAGGAAAATGTAAGGTCACCACCCTTCTTAAACCTAGTAAGGTCATCACCGGTATCAATTGGTGACTCGGCGGTTAGGATCGTCGTTTCACTGTATGGAGAAAATATTGAACCGGTGAAAATATATTGAACGACAAAAAAAAGGTATGGATCGGTGAAATAACGGTCCATATCATTGTTATACTATATAAAATCATAGTTTTACTCAGTGTTTAAAAAACGCCGAGTCGAACCGAAATCGCCCGGTTCGACTCGGGAATCGCCATGGACGGATCGAATCGGTGAAAAAAACGGGAATCGTCCGGTTCTAGAGAGAATCGGACGATTCTGCACAATGAATCGCCGATTCACTGTACGGAATCGGCGAGTCCCGTACGGAAGAACATAATTTTTTTTTTTGTTTTGTAATCCATGATAGATTTTTTTGTAATACTTGATCGATTTTTTTGTAATCCATGATCGAATTTTTTGTAATCCATGATCGAAATGTTTGTTTTTTTTCTTGTAATCCATGATCGAATTTTTTGTTTTTTTTTG